TATATAATATATATGATATAATATATATAAATATAGTAATATATATATATATGTATATATATACATATATATATATATAATATAAATATATAATATATACATATATATAATATATATATATATATACAATATATATATATATAATGATATACATAACATATATATAATATATATATATATATATATATATATATATATATATATATATATATATATATATAGTATATATATATATATTATGTATAATCTATATATATATATTATAATATATATATATATATATATATATTGTATTTATATATTATATAATATATATATTTATATATATATAATATATATATATATATATATATATATATATATATTATATATATAATATATATATTAGTATATAAATATAAACATATATATATATATATATATATTATATATAATATATATATATATTATATATATATATATTTATATATATATATATATATATATATATACTATAAATATAATTATATATATATATAGAGAGGAGAAGAGAGAGAGAGAGAGAGAGAGAGAGAGAGAGAGAGAGAGAGAGAGAGAAGATAGAGAGAGAGAGAGAGAAAGAGACAGAGTCAGAGACAGAGATAATACATATACGTCACACCTGCAGCCAAATTTCATACATCACGTGTTGATTATTTGACAACCCTTTCTGTGCTCATCATTGCATACCAAATACGAGAGAGAAAGCAGATTTCGAATACAATTTTCCTTTCTTTCTTTCCTTGATTTTTCTTTTCAAATATAAAGCTGCAATCCCCCCTTATCACTGATACGTTCTTTCATGCATTCGTGTAAAAGGAAATAGTTAAATCTGTAAACTGACTCTTGACCCGTTCCAAGAGGCAGATATTTAATCCTGGTTTTCCCTTTTCTCAAATCTCAAAATGTTTGTGGTATTAATTACGAGGAGAATCTCTCTCTCTCTCTCTCTCTCTCTCTCTCTCTCTCTCTCTCTCTCTCTCTCTATATATATATATATATATATAATATATATATATATATATATATATATATATATATATATATATATATATATATATAAATATATATGCTTTTAATCTGCTATTAATCACATCGTTTTACATATTTCAGGTCCTTCTCTGTTAAAAAATCAGATACAATATTTAATTTGTCGTTGATATTGATTGAATGAAAGAGAGAAAAGACAGGACAGACAGACCAGAGAGAGAGAGAGAGAGAGAGAGAGAGAGAGAAGAGAGAGAGAGAGGAGAGATGAAGAGAAGGAGAGAGAGAAGAGAGAGAAGAGAGAGAGAGAGAGAGAGAGAGAGAGAGAAAAGAGAGAGAGAACAGATAGATAGAGAGAGAGAAGAGAGAGAGAGAGAGAGAGAGAGAGCAGAGAGAGAGAGAGAGAGAGAGAGAGAGAGAGAGAGAGAGAGAGAGAGAGAGAGAGAGAGAGAGAGAGAGAGAGAGAGAGAGAGAGCATATGCATACTCAGAACCCATCCACAGCCTTGCCATACCCTTCATCAGCCAATAACCCAACGCAGATCAGGCCAAACCCCTTCTGATTGGACCCGGGCTTCAAATATTAGGTAACCACGTGACCTCCATCCGCCAATCAGGAGAGGCGTAACTCGGTCTCAACAGAACATGTTCAAACACGTCTTGATTGCTTTGGAAATGGACCCGAGGGAAAGCGGCAGACGAGCTAATCGAGAAAGTGAAGGCCTGATTTTTCCTTTTCTTCAGGTTTCATTTCATTTTCACGGCTTGTTTTCTCTCTCGCTGAGTTGATAAGTGCGTTCGAGTGTCGTCGGGTTTTGGCCATTGATCCGAACGGTGCAGACAAGCACTTCTTGGCGACTCAATGACTCAATTTTTAATGATGTAAGAGGTGTTTTGAATACATGTTGGTCCTGGGAAATAATCTCGATGTGTATTTTTTTTTTTTTTTTTTTACTGGGAATTATGATAATTTTCATACTTGATAGGAAATGACTTTTATACTTTGATTCGTTCTTGGGAAATATTGTGCGTGTATAGTATACGGGTAAGTGAATGCGTATACACACACGTGCGCGTTCCCCGAAACCCACTCTCATGCTCATCCACATCCACATACATACACACACACACACACACACACACACACACACACACACACACACACACACACACACACACACACACACACACACACACACACACACACACACACACACACACACACACACGTACAAACACACACACAAAAATAAATACACGCAAACACACACAATCACACAGAAACATCCTCCAACAACCTCCCCCCCCCCCCTCCTGCCAACAACCTCCCCCCCCCACCCACCCACCCACCCACAGCAAGCGAAATTCGACCCCAATCGCCACCCGATGAACACACGCCCTGCACACGCCCTATCATGCGCAGCCAATCCCGCCCACACCGGATTTTCCCCCGTGTTATTTCAGAGGAGAAAATAGAACGCATTTTCTAGCATTTC